GAGATGAAAACAAACTAGCTTAATGGCTTTTGGCAGAAGCGCTGCACCTAATTGCAGTTATAATTCAGAACTTGCAATAACTCGAGAAATGAGCTCAGGCCAAAAGCCTGCTCAGTGGATTGACGACCTAATCCACAGTCGCTCGCCGACCTGCCTCACTACAATGGCGATTCTGGGCTCAGTCAGCAGCCACCCACTTTTCATTATAGTAAGGGGTTTAACGCGTCTGGTGAGTAGCGCCCTCTGCGGGCCGTTTACAATCAGGAGTGTCCGTAATCATTAACGTAAGTTCTATATCGATAATAAAGATATCCCGATGCCTGACAAGTTACGCGCCTGAAGATGGGGCGACGTTGTCCGTTATTCAGGTACTTACAGATATGTACCGACGGGATACATTATGTATAACACAAGTGTACCGACTTGTACTTCAGAAGTGTACCCTAACCCTCAACCCTAGCCCTAACCCTGAAACAATACCTCATATAAAAATATAAACATAATTTACTAACAGGCGCGCAATATCCATTTTGACATTGTTGGGGGGGACACGTAGTACGGACCGCATGGATAGCGGGGTGCCGGTCTGGAAATTTTTTGAAATTTAAGACCCTCAGTATGCCGTTTTCTGCAGCGGATAGTAAAAACGCAGTGCTGACGGAAAGTGGGAAAAAATTTATGCGACCCGACTGCGCCCCCCCCCCCCGTACACCGCCCCTGCACACAACGCACGCACGCACGCACGCATGCACACACACCACACACATACAAGCATTTTGGGTTTTGTGATAGATTATGAAAAGGGTGTGTCCACATGCAGTCCTATATTATCTTACTCCTGATAAAATCAAGAAAACAAAAATCAGAAAAACCAATCATTTGGTGTTGAGGCTGATCACAAAATATATTGGTCCGTTATTATTGTTGGTCCAGTCATATATCATATATGCTTGTATATATATTATCATGTGTCAGTGTGCGCGCAATGGCGGTGGCGTGTGTTTACAGTTGAAACGCTTCAAGTGCCTGTGTGCACACACACACACGCACGCACGCACACACACACACAAAATCATGGTGATCCAAAATCGTGGGGGGGGACATTTGATATGATGTCCCCCCTCTGAAAATTCGTGGGGGGGACATGTCCCCCTGTCCCCCTGGATTTGCGCCCCTGAATACTAAACAACTTAAAACTACCTCGGGTACTAGTACACGACAACGACCCCATCTGCACAAGTTACCAGCTTCGTGACGAACCATGGAATTTTCCTCTCGGTCTTCCAAAATTTTTACAAGGACGGGTATTGCATAGGGATCCTTCATCTGTCCCAGGCAGTATGCAAGCTCGTGCTTCAGAAGGGCCGACGTATCCTCAAAGCAAGCTGATATACAGTCGATTGCTTCACTGCCTCCTAGGTTTCTTAGCGTGAAAAGCGCCCTGAATCTTTGCTTCAGGGGATTTTGAGGATTGCATAAAATCTCGCCTACTTTCTTCACAGCCGAAACGTCGTGACTAGCCATCGTGAAGCTCTTCGAAACGTGTAGACGAATATACTCTTAATTAATTACCGGTAATTCAAAGAACCAAACACACGTGCAAAATGAAAACACATTGCTACACGCTGCACGCCGGGCGAACATTAGACTGGTACCCGGTCCCACCTCGCGGCTTAGTTACTCGATGGGAGCGATCGAGGTGGAAGCAAGTACCAGTCTACGCAAACCTGTGTTATTAGCGCCATCTACTGTGCAAATATTTGGTATTCCGCGTTTGGTTCCCATTTATTACATTTTGATATACGCATAAGATTCAAACGAGGAAACCGGTATTTAATATTTCGAAGAAAAAAAATTTAAAATGATACACACAATTAGCAGTTTCTTCAATTATGAGGTAGTACTAGCACAGTACAAGCGACTTGTTTAAACTGTTCACTTGTTAAAAAGTAATATGTCTGCGCCCTTTCAAGAAGAGTGAATATAGTGTGATCCATTATAAGTTCATTATTAACTGCATTGAAGTTCCGGCTTTAACTAATATTTTACTCGTAATTATCATACTACTATATACACTTTTGCGTTGTAGTTAGCACTGCTTTATGAGAAGCAACCTTTTGCATACTTTTATCATGAAACGACGTTATTAATTTATTTTATGTAAACAAGTTGCAAACATACAGTGGGCTACTACTACTACTGTACTAGTAGTAGTAGTAGTACTACTAGTACTCCTAGTACTAGTACTACTACTAGTACTACTACTACTAGTACTACTAGTACTACTGTACAGTACTACTTGTAGTTACTACTACTACTAGTACTACTGGCACTGCGAGTAGTACTTGTAAAGGAAAGGTGAAATATTCATACTTGGATTTAGCTTCCAGCCAGTGACAATGGCTTCAAAGACATTCAGAGAAATGTTTACATTTGCTAGTAAAGATGTAACGGAATGGTTCCCTGGCCACATGGCAAGAGGTAAATTCATTCAGAATACATTGTAGATTACAATCATATGAATAGTGAATATAATAATGATAATAATACAATCATAATGACTATATATTCATAGTCATACCATCATGATCATGCATGAGGGGGTCCATGCCCCCCCCCTTTGGCATCCGGAATACTCATCAATTAGTCAAGAAATGAATCCATATTGACCGTAAAATAATAGCCTCCACACGTTATATACAATACCGACATTGGACTGATACATGACTGTAACCTATTACAGTGTTTAATACACTGTAGTTATCATAAGCCTTCAAGAATCTCACTGAATTATCAAAAGCTTGTCCTTTCAGTTTGTGAATCTAGCAACAATACAACTACGAACATCGAAGGCAATACCTATAATAGGTGTTTTTCTATTTTGTAACGTCAAGGCTGTGAGAGCCAGTACGTACACTTAGAATACCCTGGAGTTCTGGCCGGTCCCAATGTAGAGGATACGTGGAAGTTGAAGATGAAACTGCACATGCGGTGATGTAATGTGGCCATAATCTACGATTACAAACCTACAATTAAAATAAACTAGTGACTATTTCTCATTGGTTTCATGGATACATTCTCACTCGCTAATATATCGCCATCATATTTAACAAGACAACGCCCAGAAGCGCCTGGCTCATCGAGTCTGTTTGTCTTACGGTTAAAACGAACCATTTAAGTCGAGGCGCGTAAGTGACATACCCTATTGTTAGGCCTGCAGATATCAGAACGCAGTTGCGTACAGCATCATTTCAGCAACCGCTCTTGCTCATTCTGCATAACCTCCCAAATCCCATGGTTAACGCACGAAGAATTAGTGTGCACAAACGCAGAACCTGAAACTCCGCTGTTATGTGCTATTGGACCCACCTAATCCCAACTCCATAACCGTATTTAAAAAAAATAATTTAATGTCTGTAATAAAATATGTTGTTATCGAAATGTGTAAAAAATTGTGTGTGATAAATGTTGGTAAAAAATTGTGTTGTTATAAAGTGTGTAAATAAACTCATGTAAAATCGTTTCTTTAATGGAAAGAAATAGTTAAATGATAAAGAAGAAAAATACAGAAAACCTGTAAAAAAGATAAAGAAATATGATGGGCATCAGCCACAGCACCTTTGAGCCCATAACACTTGCTGTAACCCAGTTGGACTACGAGCATATTGTTCCAAGAATAGGATTGCATAAATATATAGACACAGGCGTGACATCATATGAGCAGGTTCAAAACATGTTAAACCCTCCTCTTGAGGTCAAAAGCTTATCAACACTTACTCTTCCGCTACTCAGCGAAATCACATTTCGTGGTCCCTTTCAATTAAAAGCCAAAAAAATAATAGTCACGCGCTGAAACAAAAAATTTCAAAACACTCGCAGACCATGTCCTCAAAAATTCAAAAATCGCCTGCGCCCGCATTACATTTGACACTCGCATTCGGCATCAAGTGAGGATGTCCCGACAATGAGCTAATAGTCACCGGACTATCACGAGCCAGGTCGACCGGTTAGCATTTTTGCCGCAAA